AATATCTTTTGTCCTTCTCAACTGTCAAGATTCCTCACCTTATTGATCGCTTCTTCATCTCCTATCTCTTGCAGAACAGCGATACTGATTCTGTTGGAAACAAAGCCAGAACTTACTGGTGTTATTTTTTTACAGGTATCCTCAATTTGCAGGGTCGTTGTGGGATTAGAGATCAATGTTATTTTAAGATCAGGATCATTGTCAAATTGGGGATCAGAAGTATAAGATGTATGTGATCACAGCAGCTAATTTGGAGTGACCATGCAGAGATCAAAACTTGGACAAACATTTTGGGATCATCAACAAAAGTTTGTCAAAAAGAGATCTTGATTGAATGAAAAAATATCTTGTCATAATAACCTGACACCAATCAAATATATTCAATGATAAGGACTCCTTATCCTGAACTTACCCATTTTCAAGAATTGTCCTGCAAATGACTTCAATGACACCTTCATTGGAKGCCTTCTCATTGCTGAAGCATTGCAAGTTCCACGATATGATCCTCACCACCTCTCGCTTACCGTATTTAAGTTTGTTGTCAGATGGAATTGAGCTGAGTTTTATACCAGAACAGGGCTTCACACAGCTATCTTCAAACTCTTCAACTCTCAAATGAGCTGACAACTTTCTGACGGATCTTTTGCTGATTCCTTTCACAGCAGCAAGGTCTTCCAGCTGGTGAAACTTGCCATGTTGCTCACGGTATTGAATGATCTTCTTTGCAAGGCTTGGACCTATTCCATCCAAGGCTTCCAGCTCATCTTCGGTTGCGGTGTTGACATCAAGTTTTTCRCTGTCATTAAGAGGTTCCTCAGTTTCATCATCATCTTCGCTCTTTGATGAATGACTCTTGAGCTTGAAACGCTTTCCTTCTTGTTGTTCTTCTTCATCAGGAATCCAYGATGGGTCATCGTCTTCTCKCTCCTTTCGCTTCCTTCCACTAAAAGATCGTCGAAAGCTGAAGATTCTCTTCTTTTTCTTGTGTGGATCTTGATACTGCAGAGACAACGCACCAMAGGAGTCTTTCTCGATATGGAAATTCCCATCAAAGTTTACCTGCATTGCTACTCCAGCACTTTCTAACAAGTTGACAACATCGCCAAGAACTTTTAGCTTTCCGTTGCTGGCTTCCTGAGCAAGTTTCTCCGCCAGTTCAKCSYGTACGCCAACCTTTTTGAGCTCTTCAGCGTTCGTATCACTAAGAGATATAGCTTTCGATTTGTTTGGCTTAGTTATTTTAGCTTCGTGTTGTGGTGTAGTGTCAGCCGTATCGTTTTCAGCTGTCTGCACATCTTGAGTGCCTTGCTCTTCKACTGAGCTTGATTTGTTCCCCATGGTTTAATCATAAAACTAAGATTGCACARAACCAAATTATAGGAAAACTGCACCCTAAGTTAAGCAATCTGTCAATATTGGGTGAAATTTCAGTCGGATRAAGTTTTCTCAGAAGTTTTGATCGTAGCCCAAGCCGTCCGCGCCAAAAGATCAATATCAACCTTCCCAGGGCTCTTTTCGGTCTGAATGAAAAAGTGATACACCTCTTGATAAATAATACACCCGTTTTCAAAAAGGTTTTCCTTTTTGATGGCTGTTCTTAAAATATTAAAGACGTCGAATTTAGAAACCTTTGATAGAAAAGATAATAGCAACGATACCTTGTGTGAAAACTGTCAAAAATCCAAAAAATCGAAAATCATATGTTTACAAAAATGAATTAAAATTGCTAATTTTTTATTGGAATTGAGACAAATCGAAAAATACAGTCAATTCAAAATGTGTTGTCGAGTTTAAAGCTTTCATTAAGTTCCTTTTTTAGGCGCATTGGTAGCTTTGCACGGAATGYTTTTATTGAGAAATTCAAATTTTAACAAAATCCATTCATTTAGACGTTTCGATGTGTCTGCGCAAGAGAATCTTTGTGCGATTTTCTGACAACGAAAATCTGCCGTCTTTAATAGACTTCTGAACCTTTTACGTCACTACTTGATTTTCAATGCATTGTGGGAATTCAGTTTCAAGAGAAAACAAAAGAAATCCGCCATGTTTTGTCCCAAACATGCCCTACAATGCATTGCGTATACGGTACATGACGTAAAAGCTTCAGAGGTCTATTGATTTTTTAACTAATCAAAAAGCAAATTTCAACGACAGATTTTTTTCAAAACAAAGCAAACGAGTCGCAAAGGCTTTCGGACGCAAGTGGGAATTTAAGACTTAGAAAAAATGACTTAATCATTCCATAAATTCCTTATATGAAGTGCCTTTATTRAATATATGACAATCCTTGTACAATTTTCTATTATCAAATTGTCTTATTGCATAACTGGACTTTTACAGCATGTTTGCAGTGTGCTTTTTCCTTGATATGCAGTCTTTCCGTTCCCCACTGGGGACCATAATCCTTAGCGTTAAAGCAATAGAGTGTTTATTGTGACGTAATTATGGCAATTTGTTAACCTCTGGTCTTTACCGAAACCGAAGATCAATGTTATATAGAACCTACCGCAATATATAGAGGTGCAAATCATATATAGGTGCATGCCCGTCATATAGAAGTATCACAGTGGCATACATTGAGATATAGTGGTGCACGTCATATAGAGGTGCCCGTGCTATAGAGGTGTCTTTGCTCAAACAAAATTGGTGCTTGTCAAATTTGCTCAATTCATTTTCTTCCTTAACATGCTTAATGACTATTTAGTGCACCCCAAAAAAATCTTGATTAATTGTTCTCCTTTAAGCGAAGATTTTTGTGCCTTTATTGGGAGGTGTTGGTGCACCCTGTGCTGCCAATGGCTTACATCCCAAATTTCAACATCTTGACTTTTGCCAGCGCTTGTATCTTKGATTGTAGTATCTGTTGTTTCTTTTGAAGCAAAGCGCAGCTTTCAGGTCACAACGGCAAAGATGATAGGCACATGATGGCTTTCTTATTTTCCAACATCTAAGCCACCATCCCTTCCATCTACACCGTCGAACTTTAAAGAAAATAAAAACTTTTCTAAATTTATTACTTATATAGGATCTAATAAGAAACTTATGCACCAGTCAATTGAAACCCCCGACTCCCCGACCCCCCGACCCCCCGGGGAATACCGGGGAATGTAACGTTTGAGTGGTGTTAAAATAAGACATTTCCCCCGGTAGTCGGGCACATTCACTGTTAAAATCCCCGCTACTGTTGCCCCGCTATTTTGGTCTAGTAGTAAATAACAAAACAAACACCTTTCAATAAATGTTTCAGTGATACATGAGGGTTAATTTTTGCAATAATCCTGTGTACTCATTTTTTGGTACTACATGAGTCTAACTGGACTTTTTAGTAGGAATTTAACTACAAGGATTGTTGTGTGACCATGGAAAACACAGAAGGTTAATGAGATGAGCTGGTATGCGTGGACCAGGTTGTACGCCGAACTTCATATAGTTACGTGGGCTTCCTGTGGTTGTATGCCGAACTTCATATAGTTTGCGCTTTTATTGTTTGCACGCTATAAACGGACCATGTTCCACCGGCATTCCTTTTGAGCTTTTTTTATGTTTAAAAACAAAAATACATCTAAATATAATCAAAAACTTATATTCTTTATTATCCCTTTATGCTCTATGAATGGAGATATTTTAGTTTTTGCCTTAAAAACTACGAATGGAAACGGATTACGAATGGATATCTGAMGTCACCTCATTTTCCATATTTATATATATATGTATAAAACATTAAAACAGAGATATTAAAGCTTCAAGTTGGTGTTTTGTTCAATTTCATTCTACTATATTTAAGWRAWWWWAAAMSGSSC